GAATGACCTCGATGATCCAGGCTGTCCATCCAGCCCTATATACTTGAGCTAATGCTAATGCCAGGTTCAGTCTGTATTTTAGTATAGGGTCTTAAAATCTCCATTGGTCGCTTCTCAACAGGCAGCATCGTTGTGAAGAGATGGGGAGCTTTGCATACAAAAAGTGAGTGAATTGAGTTGCCATTTGATACAGTATTTATTAAGCTTTGGAAGAATGAATCAATTACCCAAGATTATTTAACAACAAAAAAAAAACCCAGAAAAAAATTCAGATTGTGGTTGAGTAAAAACTAACAATATAGCATCAGACCTTCTTCAAACCTAATGGGGCTGCCATTCATATATACTGTAATACATCAGATTTTATACATTTGTGAATGCATTAATTTCTAGAATGTTACAGGTCCCTTTTAGAACACAAAGACAGAGCAGAGTGATCCCTTGTCCTTTATTTTGCTATCGGTATAAAAGCATTAATGAAGACAAATCAAAGACATTAGAGGTTACTGTGAGACAAATTATAGTCATCCTAGAGATGTCTTCTTCATGAAGAAATTAAAGATGTTTCTGGTTTAAAACAAAGTTTTTTTCTCTTACAGAATATGGGAAAAGTTCCGATTTTTTTTTTTTAATTGTTATTGTCATTAATGAGCCTTCCAGTGCCCGGAGAAAATGTCATGTGTTTATTGTATGAGATCAAAATCCCTCCCACTTTTTTTAGACAAAACAAAAATCACTTTACCATAGTGAGATTAAACAAGGAATTTCTTGCTAGTCTGTTCTGTTAAAGTATACTTCCCCTTCAAACTGGAAAATAAATCAGTGATTGGGGGCATTTACAGAAGATGTGGAAAACCTAGCTTAAATGTTTCTTCAAAACCCATTTGGTTATTTATGCAAAGTGGAATAGCTGAGACTGTAACCTGAGGACTAGGGGACTCAGAAAGCTGGAGGCCTGGGTTCACATTCATACTGTGCCTGAGGTGGAGCTGGGATATGAAGCTGAGTTTACCATGTCCCACATACACACCTGAAATCCTGGTCTTTCTTCCACCTCTGTATACACTTGCCTAGAAATTCCACTCTAGAGTTGACAAGTCTTTTGCAACAGATGTTAAGTTGAAACCAGAGTGGAAGTTTTGATTTCAAAAGGTGGGTGTGAAAATTCCAGTCTGTTTTAATAATTAGTCCCAATAAAGACAAACATTGCAGTGCTTTCTTTTTACATATATTAGACAAAGCATTTCTTTATCTTAGCATTGTCCCACAAAATATGGCTTTATGTGAGAACTGTGAAATTGGCCCAATGTCCAGAAAGCTAAAAATCCAAATCAATCGGCTCCAAATGAAATATATTCCACCCTAAAATTTGAGGCTGTGTATTAGCTTGCTTATAATTTTATCCTCTTAATTAGAAGGTGCAAATTTATTGGTTATACTACAGTGATCCTAATTGCTGTCTCTCCAGTTAGGGTTTGGCCAATCTTAAATTCTGGAAACCCATCTCAAGACTTTATTTTAGCACTCTGAAAATGAATATCCTGACATTCATGTATGTACTCTAGAATTCCTACTGAACTGAACGGGATTCAGCATACCTACCTACCTACCTGTTCAAATGATTTTTTCACACCTGCTCTATACTACAGTAAAAAGAATTGGCAAGCAGGAGGAAAAGCATAAAGTTAGTTAATAAAAATTATTGAAAGGACCTTCACTATAGCAGTTAGACACTTGAAGCACCTGCTTACAGTCATTATGGGGTATTTTTAATATATTTGAAATACGTATGAAAATTATATATATATATAATGCATATTTAAAATATAATTTATATGTTTGAAATATTAGAAAAATATGAGGAGGGATGCAACAGCACAGGAAAGACATGGACCTATTGGAGCGGATCCAGAGGAGGCCACAAAAATGATCAGAGGGGTGGAACACTTCTTCTGTTAAGAAAGGCTGAGAGAGTTGGGGTTGTTCAGCCTGGAGAAGAGAAGGCTCCAGGGAGACCTTATTGCAGGCTTTCAGTACTTAAAGGGAGCCTATAAGAAAGATGGGGACAGATTTTTTAGTAGGGCCTCTTGGGATAGAAGACAGGGTAACGGTTTTAAACTAAAGGAGGGTAGATTTAGACTAAGAATAAGGAATAATTTTTTTACAATGAGGGTGGTGAAACACTGGAATGGGTTGCCCAGAGAGGTGGTAGATGCCCCGTCCCCGAAAATATTCAAGGTCAGGCTGGACGGGGCTCTGCGCAACCTGATCCAGTTGAAGATGTGTCTGCTCATTGCAGGGGAGTTGGACCAGGTGACCTTTAAATTTGTAAGGGACCTGTAAAGATCATAAAATATGAAAGAATTAAAAATTATGAAAGAATCTATGAAGGAATTAAAAAAGACTAATTGTAAAGACCAGTTTTACTTAGAAAATGGGAAGGATTGCATGTATTTCTGTGATCCTTCTTGCAATAATGGAAGCAAAGAGTTACTGTTAATTTAGGAAATCATAGGAAAATATTAAGGCTTTATATACTGCCATATTCAGGTAAACCCAAGAAAAGTATCATTCCACTCTTCCCACTTTGCCTCCACCAACCCAGCTGATAGTGGTGCCTTTTACAAATTCTTCTCTTTACATGTTGGAGTTCTAAGAACTAATATCAGAGTAAAATTCATCTTTTTCAGATGAGAATTAAATGTAAATTATTTTATAAGGCAAGGAATGCCACTGAGAAGTATTAATAACTTCCACATATTTGTCCCCAGTGAATTTTATTTCTTGTATAAAGAATTTGAAATAAGAAATCCCTAAATCCATGTTGAATCCCCAAAGACCTGATTAAAAACTGTTTTTCTATTTGTTTATAAAAAACCCCAACCAATTTACTCTTGCCGTAAACACACTCTTTAATCCCATGAAACTATGATAAGCTCTTTAACTTTTATATTCTAAAGTTTTAGTTTAAGCATGCTTTCCTCACCTAATTATGCAGATTTTGATTGAAAACTGTAAGGAAAAGATTGTCTTAGTTAAACCATTTTGTAGTTATAGGCATATTAGTTTTATTACAACAAGCTGTAGAAATAAATTAATATTTTGCCTGCTCTCTGTTCTTAGTTTGCTATGTAACATCACTTGCCTGAATCAGGACATAACATTCAAACCGTATTTCAAATCTCTAAAGTAAATTTTTGAGGCTTCTGGATGGTAACAAATATGATTACAGTAAGTCCTAGAGCTTCTGTCAAGAATTACTGGGAAGATTACAAAGAAGAGGCTGCACCAGATAATTATGTGACCCCAGACTCTCAGTTCATGTTTCTGATATGTTCAAAATTAAGACACATTTTTTCAGCACAAAAATTGTGTTTCTATTAATACACATTCTCAATGGGATAATAGTAATAATAATAATGATGAAAAAGTCAGTTCTGCTTTCTGCCATTTGTTTAGAAATTGAAAATTGCCTGTAATTTTTACAGAAAACGCAATTCAGGCCTTCGGCAATGGTACTGATGTGAATGTGTGGCAGCCAATCTTACCGGTACAGACCACTACAGCCACAACTACAACAGCTTCCCGACTTAAAAACATAGGATCAGAGACCACCAACAACGAAATACCCACCCACAACGATTCACCAGCATGTGCAAACCTGCAGGTAAGAGAGTCTTGAACTTGTTGCAGTGCATAAATGAAAGTTTTTCATAGATATGTACATAGTCTCCTGCTGCATAAATGGGTGCCTGCTTAAATTGGAATATCTGTTTATTCCCATGTTGTAGTTACAAACTGGATATATTGTAAAACATCAGACATTGTTATTTTAAATCAGAAAAATGCATGTTTCAAAGCGGACTTTCTTGCCTCTCTGACTCAGAAACAGGCCATAGTATTCAATTTGTTATCACGGGTTTGGATATGAATGTGGCACTCTCTGAACCCTGCCAGGATGTGTCAGATTAAATTAATCCCCTGAGTAATCCAAATTCAGAGGGAACTCTTAATGTCAGCTAGCACATCCTGCTGCCTTCTTTCTTATGTTATTGGCAGTAAACTTAAGAGGTCTTTTGGCTGAGTAAGTCTGGATATTAGAGAATATGTGGTGCAACAAACTTCACGGTGAAGAAGCTGGGCAAAGATAGAAGCTATTTTGAATCAGGCGCTTTCCTGAGCTGGGGTCAAGGTCGTGATGTGATTTTGGCGAATGGCTGTAACGATTTTCTTTGACGCTTCAATTAGGCTATTCATGGTGCGTCATTGATTCTGGATTTAGAGAGGCTCATCACTTGCTGAAGGCAGTAAATGCAGCTCTTAAAAAGTTTGAAGAACTTGGGCAGGAGACAACTGCAAAATCGGGCAGGAAAGAGGTAACAGGGAACGTAAGCTGAAAACATCCTTAGGCCAGATTAGAATCTTGGGTTATAAAAAATTCTGGTGGTTTAAATGCAAAATCAGCTCAGGGATAGATCAGCTTGGCCTGTTTATTTTTGTCTTTACAGAAGGAAAATTGCTATGTGACACAAATGAAAGTGTCCAAGGTGTAAGGTCTCATATAGTATTAAGATACATCTTTTCTGGATTCCCAAACCCTTCCACACTTGTAGCATTCACGTTTCACTTACTTATAAAAAATTGATTTTGTATTCTTGATACTAAACTGTACCAAAGTTTCCATGTTCACTAAAATGGACGGTTAGTATCCCTCAGAAATGTATTTTGCTTCTTAATTTTTCCTGCACTGCTCTCTCATCTTCATGCTTTTCTAGTTTCTCCATTTATTTTGCATTGGCAAATTGCATATGAATTAATTTTTTTCAGAGGCATTACGGAATCACAATGTACATGGTGTTAATAGTAGTTGGTGTTGAGTTTAGGTCCTTCTGTTTTCATTCTATTTTTCATATCTGTGCATTCATTATTAGTTAACCTTTGTAAGTTATTGATGAGAGGGAGATAGTTGTAGGCATATATTTCTATATGCAGTAGTCATCTGACCAAATAGAATATGCTAAAAAGAAACTTAACCTTTTAAACCTGGAACTTGGAATGTCTTGCATTTAAAGCAAGACCTTGATGGGATATTATTAATTCACTTCATATTATATTAAAATGTTGTTTTATGGGAGAGATCACATTTTCCTTCAGTGTTTGTACAGTCCCCTATAGAGTAAGGCCTCCAGATGCTACCAAAGTACACATAATAAATAACAAACTGAAGAAATGGCAAGCAATCACAAATCCCATTGGATTCAGTTTGACTTGCAAATGTTCCTCAAGCCTCAATAGATACTCCAGTGTTTTGAAAATAAATTAAATTCTTCCCTGTCCTTACGCCTGTTACTCTGGCATTTTGAAGTCACATCCCACATGAGTTTATCAGCACTGGTTTAAAGCTGTTAGGACTTCAAGT